GTAGGATGAAGGCAGCCTGTAATTAGGAAATTAGGATTTAGAAAAACCTCTGGAGTGTGGAAAAACTACAGTAGTTCCACAACTCTGTCTCTGCTTCTGTGTTGGCAGATTGAGTGTCATCCATACCTTTCCCAGGAGAAGCTGATCAACTATTGCCAGTCCAAAGGGATCACTGTGACAGCATACTGTCCCCTTGGCCGTCCTGATGGGTAATTTCCAACTGGGTTAGCATGATTTAAGTCTGAAACATTCAGACTAGTTGAGTAATGGTGCAAGTGTGTATATACATATATATGTATATGTTTTGTTTTGTTTTTTAATTGATGAGGCTAGATAGAATCTTTCTAGAGTGATTCTTTGTTGTTTCTTCCCTTCCCCCCACCCTCCTTGTCTAGTTCTAAGCCAGAGGCACCTTCCCTTCTGGATGATCCCAAGATCAAAGAGATTGCAGCCAAGCACAACAAAACCCCAGCACAGGTGAGTAGGTGCCACACAGTGGGTACTCATTCCTGTAACACAGCCATTTAGGAAACTATGTCTGAAGAGAGGGAACAGCCTCTAACAGTGTTGCCTGTGAACTGTGGTGCTGTTTGGTGGCGTTAACAAGCCATGCAGATTGTCCACTCTGTGGCCTACAATATATGCTACTATTGCCTATTTGACCCTCAGACAGGAAAAGATTCTTGACCCATCTTCAGATGTCACCTTCCCCTCTCAAGTCCTCTTGCACAGAATGAAAGCATTGCATAGACTGCTAAAAGCCTGGCTGGGAAGAAAAGGAATTGTTCCAAAACTGGATGGGAAAGGAGGCCTTCCATGTGAGGCTCCACTGCTTCCCTTTTTGCTCTCCAGGCTATGGTTTGAAATGCAGCTCTGCCAAAGTGCACAGAGCTTAGAGAAAACAGCTGTTGGAACAGGCTCTGCTTCCTCCAGAGCAGGAACCATCCTCTTTCTGATTCTGTTCTTGCAGGTTCTCCTTCGCTTCCAGATCCAGAGAAATGTGATTGTGATTCCCAAGTCTGTCACACCACAGCGCATTGTGGAGAACTTCCAGGTGAGGGATTAGGAGTGAGCTGGGTGCTGCCCTTCAGGGACAGCACAGCTTCTCCCTGTAGAGCAAACAAAGATCCTTTCTCATCCTTGCCATGTCCTCCTTGGGCAGCAGGACTGCACTTTTTCCTTCTTTATGCTTAACTAAACTTTACTGACTGTCAAGCCAGTCCTACTTTTGGAGAGGTCAATGAACAGCCCTTACATGATAATTCCTGTTCTGTGGCTTATGGATGAATCAGCAGGCACTGCTTGCTTGGAATCCCCACACAGTAACATGCCAGAAACATCCTATATAGAAAAAACAACGTTCAGAAAATAGTTCCTGTGCCCATAAAACAAGGTGTCCTTCTATCTGTTAATTCAGTGGTCCATGAGTGAAAATCGACCCTCCAGCATGGAGCTGCTCTCTAATCCTGTCTTTCTTCTTATTGTTTGGTTTGTCCAAAGAGGTAATTTCCATCTGTTTCTCTTTTTAGGTGTTTGACTTTGAATTGACTAAAGAGGAGATGGCAACTATTCTGAGCTTTAACAGAAACTGGAGGATCTGTGAAATGGACATGTAAGTGACACTGACCGTTTTCTTACAACTCCTACATTTTGAATATTCTTTACAAGGAATTTTGTGTCACAGATACTAGGTAGAATGAAATTCAGTTTATTTAAAAATCACATCAACTCAAATTCCAACTGGTTTTCCCAAGAACACTTTTTCAGGAGAGGGTTTAATATTTTCATTTTAAAAACAAAACAAACAAACAAACAAAGAAAACAAACTACACTCTCATTTTGAATTCAGTTTTCAGGAAAGTCTCTGTAACTTGAATTATAAAAAATGGATTCTGGATATTCATTTCATCTTTGTCTGTATTTAGAGAAATGAGGACATATATCTCCATATATTCTTCCTGTAATTACATGATGCAGACCTTCCCTTGGTGGCTCCTTCGTGTACCCAATGCATCTCTATATAACATTTAAGTTATGCATTTAAATAACATTCCCTCTTTGATTTCTTTCAGGTCCAAAAATCTCAAGGAATACCCTTTCCATGCCGAATACTGAAGATGGCCTTCACTAGACCTCTGGTGTCTCACGTGCCTCTGCTCTAACTTTGAGCTATTTATCTGGTTTTCTTATTGTATCTGCCCCAGTACTGCCAGTGAAGACACAGAATGTTTATCCCATGAAATTTGGGGTTTTTGGAAGAAGAAAAGGGTATTTTCTACAGCAAAAAATGTGGGATGTAATAATCTTCTGCCTATTAGAAGACAATATTTCTACTGAAGAGCCAAAGCAGAGGTGGAAGAGCTTGTACCACCATTCAGTGATTGCCTTCAGTCTTGCATCAGCAGAAACCAGATGTTGACAAACCACAAAAAACCCCCCCATGGATTCACAATTTCATCAGAGGTGTCCCATATTTTAAATAAGTTTTACTGTAAAAAGTAAAAAC